GATTTGGAATATGAGGAAGCAAAAGACACCTACTAAGGAGAACAAAAGAGAAAAGAATAAAAAGGCATGAAGATAATGTAAGGAGCCTCTGGGACAACTTCCAGTGTACCAACATTCCCATTATGAGGGTGCTAGAAGGAGAAGAGAGACAGCAAGATCTTGAAAACCTATTTGAATAAATAATGATAGAAAACTTCCCCATAGGGTGAAAGAAATAGTCTTACAAGTTAAGGAAGCACAGTAAGTCCCAAACAAGATGAATCCAAAGAGGTCCACATCATAATTAAAATGCGAAGGGTTAAAGAAAAACAGAGGATTTTAAAAGCAGCAAGCGAAAAGCAAATAGTTACCTACAAAGGAGCACTCATATGACTGTCAGCTGATTTCTCAACAGAAACTTTGCAGGGCAGAGGGGATTGGCAAAAAATAATGAAAGTGATGAATAACAAGAACCTATAACCAACATTACCCAGCAAAGCTATCATTTAGAATTGAACGTCAGATAAAGAGCTTCACAGACCCTACCAAGCCACTATTATATGAAATGTTGAAGAGTATTCTTGAAGAAGAAGAAGAAGAGGAAGAGGAAGAGGAAGAGGAAGAGGAAGAGGAAGAGGGAGAAGAAAGAAGACGAAGAAAAAAGATAAAAAATGTGAACAACAAAATGGCAATAAATACATCTGTATCAGCAACTGAATTTAAAAATCAAAATAAATGAACAAGAAATCTAATGAACAAAATAAACTGATGAATAAAATAGAATCAGAGGCATGGAAACAGAACAGACTGACAAATCTCAGAGGAAAGGATTGAGGGGTTTGGGAAGATATTAAGGAAAAATCTTATATGCAAGTATGCATTACCTAAGGACACAGACAATGGGGTTGTGAAGGCCTGGAATGGGGTGGGATCTGGGTGGATGGGGGCTCTGAAAGGCAAAGAGGGGCATCTGTAATGCTCTCAGCAATAAAGATTTTGCGAAGAAAAAAAAAAAAGGAAGGAAGGCCCAAAAAAAGAGAGGATATTTAGATGTGCCCTGACTGTAATCAAACTGTGACCTCCTGGTGTCATAGGTCGATGCTAATAAATATATTAAAACTACTTAATTATGATATATACATATATAAATAAAAATAAAATATGGTCGGTATTTCATTTATTTCTTTTTAGGTGCTAGAATAAACAGTAATCACAATAGAATTTAGCTATGTTTTCCTAGCCTTTTTATATCATAGTTCATAAAATATGACCTACAAAATTTCCTGCCTCCCACCAGAAACTGTCGCCTGTCATACCTCCTCGATTTGTTGTGTTTGTTCTGTGGCACTATTGAACACGTGGCACCAGATATGGTCAGAGGGGCAGAATCAGGACATGACAAGGTATGTTCTATTTTTGACACATCTTTTTATATCTCTATAAACTGTATAATAAGAATCCTAGCTAATAACTTAGGTAGAGTCTCTAACAGAGTCCTCTTTCTGGTGTTACCTTATCTTTACTTTTTCTCTCCTTTGCTTTGTCTACATGAACACATTATGCTATCTAGGGTTGTGGAGGGAAAAGATAATAGAAAGGTTAGGACATTCTGGATTTCCCTTTTTTCAAGGTTTACTGCTGAGGATCATCTTTTGTTTTATAGAGTAACACTTTGTTAAAGGAAACTTCAAAAGCAACTCATTCTTCATACAATAATTTTTACGTTATTTCCATGAAAAGAATCTGTATCTTGAGCAAAGCACCAGTGGTCACTCTATATAAAACCAAAATCATTCATTTTCTGTTGCATGGGACCTGCTCTTTTAGGACTCAGCTGAGCCACAGCACAGTGCAGAGGTGTCACTGAATGCGCAGACTGTCCACTGCTCCCTTGTGAGTCTCGCTTGATGATTTTGGACAGCGCTTATTGGCATTTTTTATTTTTGTTAGAAAAATACATGGGACATATAGTTGGCTGTGTCACCTTAGGTTGATATTTGCTTTCTAAGAGGGCATTGAAAAGGGAATCTTTCCTATTTTTATTCCAATTTTGCTTTTAACTTTGTAGACATACTGGAGACTTTGTTGATTATCTCTCCCACAGAAATAATCATTGTAACACTCCTTGGAGAAAGAAAATAATCCAAGATAGTCTCTGTTTCCCTAAGCCCTCTAAAGCAGCAGTTGTCAACCGGTGGCCTGCAGACCACTGGTGGTCCGTGAGGTACGAAAGTTTGGCGACTTCTGGTTTAAGGAAACCTTTGAGGCAGCGGTCGCCAACTGGTGGTCCATGAGGGTCTGAAAGGTTGGCGACCGCTGCTCTAAAGAGCTCAATTTTTTCCTCCCCACTTTCTTTGTATTTGCAAAATGAAGGCTGGAAAGAGCCTAAGTAATTATGTCACATATTTTTATTTCATGTATGAAAGGATACAGACATGTCCAGTTCTTTCTCTTTTAAAAAATACTTTGTGGATTTTACAAAGAGGAAGGGAAAGGGACAGAGAGTTAGAAACATCAATGAGAGAGACACATTGACCAGCTGCCTCCTGCACTTCCCCTACTGGAGATTGAGCCTGCAACCAAGGTACATGCCCTTGACATGAATCAAACCCAGGATCCTTCAGACCAAAGGCCGACTCTTTATCCACTGAGCCAAACCGGTTAGGGCTGCCCAGTTCTTTCTTAACACTTTTGCTTTATTAATAACTTTCTCCAAGTAAGGGATTCTGACTATTTTTTGTTTCTCACCTTCCCCTCTTCCTCATCCCCTTGCAGAATCCCACATGTACAGTCCACATATCTTAAGGGTAGAGATGTTTGCTAATGACTCATCATATGTTTAAACACTATTGTTCAACTTTTCACAACTAGGAATCTGATTGTAGAGCTGTATCTATTGATTTCCAATCCAACAGCAGAACATTCTGAGGGTCTGACTCAGATGGCAGTGAAACTGCTTGTATAAATAAAATAATTGAATTGTTGGTTTAGTTCAAGTCAAGGTATTCTCTGAAACTATTGGGAATTTTGGTAGGAATTTGTAACTATTAAAATTTGAAAATTACTTTCTAAGTTTTCTAAGATCTAATAGAACCAATTTTCTTTTCATCCTAACCCGATGATATGCTTATTGATTTTAGAGAGGGGGGAGGGTAGAAAGAGAGAGAGAGAGAGAGAGAGAGAGAGAGAGAGAGAATATCATTTAGGTAAGAGAGAAACATTCCATATGCACCCTGACTGGGGACTGAACCCACAACCTAGGTATATGGCCTGATCGGGAATCAAACCCACAACCTTTCAGTGTATGGAATGATGCTCCAGCCACCTGAGCCACAGAGATAGACAGTTAGAAACATCGATGAGAGAGAAACATCGACCAGCTGCCTCCTGCACACCCCCTACTGGGGATGTGCCCGCAACCAACATACATGCCCTTGACCGGAATCGAACCTGTGAGTTGATTGAATGAGCGATAATGTGTGCAACGTGCTCATCACTGTGCCTGGCTTGCACGCACTCTTGTGGTTTCAGTCTGACTGACCCTGTTTTCTGTGTCACTGTTATGTGTTTTCTTTAAAACAGTTCTAGTCTCATACATTTGGCTACATTTCTCTGAAATATTGGCCCTGAAATTTGGAAGCAGAGAGTTTAAAATTTTAGCATCCAGTTAATATCTCATTGACATAAGCTCATGTAGTCAACCATTACTCAAATCCTGATTTGCATAATCATAAAAGAAGTAATTTTCAATATATCAAGAATCTCTAAGTTATACGTAATTTGCTGTGTTCTCAGTTCAGGTAACTACATTTATAAATTTGTTTCCCATTTAGATCACATTTTGTTTTGCATTATTTTAAATCTCATCATGCTTCCCACAAATGAAGGCTATTAGATTTCTGGTAGGTTCTATAAGAGGAATTGATTTAGGTGATTATGAAAAAATAACACCTGTAGGTGGGCTTTTTTTTCATTTTTTTCTTTGACTTTAAGGAATTTGTAGTATTTATTGAAGCTGGATAGTCACTAAAAATGCTAATTGGTACTTTGTCCCCCCTCTATCATAAGTCCAAAGATTTCATTTACTTAAAAAAATTAAATTTATTTTAAATCAAAATAAATTTTTAGTTAACCAAAATAAAACCATTACTAGTTTAGAAAATAATTAAACACTTTTAGTTCATTGATTGACAGCCTAGATGTTTACATTTGTTCTGACATACCTGCATATCTGTTCTCTAAATGTCTTCCTTGCATGTGCTGGTTTAATGCTCCTTGCCCAGAAAGCTATGCACAGGCTCTTTTTGTTCAAATATTTCCCAAATATGCAGCTTTATTTTGTTCATTTTTCTTTCCTCTAAATGACTTACTAGTTAATATTCTATCAAATCATTTTGTAGGCAGCTGACTGGTGGGTTTAGGTGTTGTAATGTATGAACTACTAACTGGAGGGTCTCCGTTCACTGTGATGGGAAAGAACTCCCAAGCTGAGCTACTAGGTCAGACTTAACAAAATAAAATGAATGGTTACTTCAAAGGAACTGATCAAATTTCTGCAATTTGGCTGATGGAAAAAATAATTAAAAATGGAGATTAGCAAGATTATGTTGAAGTGGTTAATTTACATTTATAAGTACATAGTAGACATATTTCCTCATATTTCATGTGCCCAGAAAGATTTTAAATTTCATAGGGAGTGTGTCATCATTTTTGTGTATTCCAACGCACTAGCATTGACAGGGAGCTGCCACAGCCCCTGACCCAGCTGTATTCCCTGCTAGAGCCCTTTGGAATAAGGGGCCCAGAGCAGTTAGGAATACAGGCTCAAGAGCCGTTTAGAATTTGGGGCAAAGAGCCTTTTTCGAATGTGGAGCAAATAGCAGTTTAGAATGTGGTGCAAATAGCAGTTTAGAATGTGGGGTGAGGAGCCAATTGGAATGTGGGACGAGTAGCCGTTGGCAGTGCTTGGCACAGAGCTGGTGGGCACAGAGACGGTGGGCCCAGAGCCTGTGTGCATAGCGATGGACGGTGGACACAGCCTCAGGATGGACGTGACTGTCCGTGAGCTCATGGAGCTCTTTCTGCAGAGCCCGTTGGTGGCGGGGGTGAGTGCCCCTGCCTCCCTGTCCCATTGCGGGTGCCCTGGCTCCTCTCCCGCCCCCCTAAGGTCTCCACAGACCCCACCCACCTGGGCCCTGGCAGTCCTGGGACTCAGGGGTCTTCACAGGTTTCCAAACTGGGGGTGGGGGTCCTGGCCTGGGGCCCTGAGGGGTTTCCTACTCTGGAGCCCATGCACCAGGTGCAGGATCCCCTGGCGCTTCTAGCCCTGGACTGAGATGAGTTCACCTGCTCCTGCCAGGGGGCTAGGCTGCGGGTCCAGGCTCTAGATGGTTTGACTCAGTGGTTAGAGTGTTGGACTGCCCACCAAAGGGTCACAGGTTTGATTCCCCGTCAAGGGCATGTCCCTGGTTTGAAGAAGGTAATGTCGGCAGTTGGAAGAGAGGCTGCCAAGTGAGGATGAGGCCGTGGGCCTGCGCTCACACCGGCAGAAAGGGGGAACCAGGTGGTCCTGTGTGGCCTGTGGGGATGAGATCCAGGCTCACCTGAGAAGTATTTCAGGTTATGAAAGGTTTCCTCAAAAAATAAGATTGTCATGGACCCAACCTTCTGACATAAGCGCTCTAGTATTTTGCCATCTTCGCGTTAGATTTTATTTGAAGAATAAGATGCTATCCCTCCTGACCCTCCCCTCCCAAGGCTTACCCTCTTTGTGTGACACATGGATGGTGCAACTGAAATCCCTGGGACAGTTGAGGGAGCTCCCATACTGGGCGGAGTGCTGTCTGGTGGGAAGTCAGTGTCCTCCTTGAGCTAGTGTGACAGCAGCAGTGGTGTGTGAGGAAAGAGCTAGGCCGCAGAGTGTGGCTGCACTTGCTGAGGAGGCTGCCCGCCCCCCACAGGAACTTGGTGGCTGAGGGTTAATAATGTCAGTGAGGTGGGTCAGCTGTGGGAGAGTGGGCCTAGGTCCCAGGGGGCGTGGCCTTGGGAGGTGGGTGCTCTCAGGGACCCTCTGCTGCTCCCTGCCCGGCCTCTGCAGCACCTTACCCTTGTGTGCCCTCAGGTGACCCGCCACCAGGCCAGCCTGTTGGACCTGCAGTGGTTGGAGGTCCCAGACATGGCCCTGGAGGAGGTGGAGTACCTCTCCAGCAACATGATCTGTCGCCTCAGGAGGGTCTTAATTGAGCAAGACCATTGCAGGAAGGTGTGTTTGTGGGTGGCCCAACAGTCTGGGGGACGGTGGGGAGGGGCCTGGGTCTGGGGCCTAGTTATGGCCGCGCTCTTCATCCTGACTTCCTCTCAAGCTGCACACTGTCTGTCCTCCTGGCCCATTTTCATGGGGGCAGGACGTGGGCACTTTCCCTGCAGGGCACAGTCCCCTGAGACACCTGTGAGAGGACAGAGGTTGAGCTTGGGGAGCCTGCTCCATTCACTGGGCCCTTCTGTCTCACTAAATATATCTCCGCTTCTTAAAAACTCCCTCACATTCTCCTGCCTCCTTCCTGGCTTTGCAGTCTCGGCTGCCATCTTCTCTTTTACTTTCTTCCGTCTTTTGGTCATTCTTCACCACATTCTAGTGTGGGCACTGTGCCGGGCACAGGAGCACGCCAGTGAGACCCCCTGTCTGCCCTGCTGTAGCTGGTCGTGACCATGACCCAGGAGTGGAACACGAGCATCTGCCCCAGCGAGGACACGCAGCACCTGGCCATGGAGCTGGCGGACACCAAGGCCACGCTGAGAGGCGTCAGGCAGGAGCTGTGAGTTCCCCAGTGACCCTGATCTTTCTGCTCTTGTGCCATGTGTCACCACCCATTGCTCGCACATGTGGTTCACTGCCATGCGGTGCAGCAAAAGGGGCAGCTCTCACAGTGCCCTGGAGTGACGGGGCTCTGCTTTGGGCTGGGTCCCTGTTGGGCCCTGGGCTAGCCCGGTCCCTCCCCTCCCCTCCCCGGGCCTGCACAGCAGGGTTCTGCTGGGCCTTTAGGGCTCCTGCCAGTCCAGACATGGCAGACTCAGAGCAGCAGCCTGCCGCTCAGCCTCGGGCCCAGTGTGGGTGCTCTTGGTTGGAGGGAGGATGTGTCTCTCCCGTCCCGTCCTGTGGGACTGCTCCCCCTTTCGTGCAGCTGGTGATGGCACCATGCCCAGTATCTGGGAAGCTGCCTGCCTTCACCTCCCTGCCAGGGGCCCTCCCTGCCTGCCTGCCTGTGGAGGGAGCAGTGGCTCTGGGGGCTCCTTCCCTGTCTGCACCCTCAGAGGAAAGCTCAGGTCTGTGGTGAAGTCTGAGAGCAGCAGTGACAACGTAAAGCTCACCTTGGACTCCAGAGCATTTTTGCAGCCCCACGTGTAGACGCCCTCCTCACGCCTAGAAGCCAGGACCCCCTCTTTCCCCACTGTGGTCTCCCAGGTGGTGGGCTTTCCGGGTGCTTCTGAGAAGCCCTCAACACATGTTCTCATCGCCCCCAGGGAGGAGAAGACGAAACAGCTGTCGGACACCAGGTATCAGTTGTACCAGCTGGTGCTGGAGCTGCTGGAGGCCCGGCACAATGTGAGCAGGAGGCCTATTGTGTGGGCCTGGGGTGGGGGGCTAGGATGCCCCAGTCACTGTGGCCCCAGGTCCAGGAATGTGACCTGGGACACCTCTCCTTCCTGCTCAAAGCAGCGCTGCCTGAGAGCCAGCTGTCCTGGGAGCTGCTGTGGGGTGAGATGCTGCAGTGACAGCATGTGGGACCCCCACACATGGGCCTGCACATGGACCAGCTTGGCCGCCCCTGGCTTCTCCTGGGGCTGCAGGGACTTGGGCCTTCCCCAGCCCCCGAGAGTGCCCTGAGCCAGGTCCCCTGCCTTTGCCCACCTCCCAGAACATGGAGCTGGCGGCCACTGCCCAGGCTGCTCGTGCCCCCCTCCCTGAGCTGGACTCCCTGAGAAAGAAGGTTAACCTCATGGAGAGGCTGGAGATGGAGGCGATGGGCCTCAGGCAGAAGGAGAAAGACATAGACTTCTATGCAGCCGCATGGAAGTGAGCCCAGCAGGGGCAGGCAGCCCGCGGGCACTTGTGTCCTGGAAGCGGGGAGAGGGGCGGCAATGCCTCCCCAGTTGGCCCTCTCCTTGCACTACAGCCTGTCCACGCGACCCCTGGGCTCCCTCTGGTAGTGGAAGGAATAGGGTTGGGAATGTGGTTGAAGGGCCCTGATTCTTCTAGGACTTTTCCTCCTCCTCCTTCATGCCACAATGATGACCTTCTATTCACTAATCTTTTTCTTTAAGACTCCTTGTAATTTCTATGACTTACCAGGTAAGATTTCTATGATAAATCTTACCAGGACTGTTTCCTCATCTATAAAACAGAGATAACTGTACTAGTCCGTGAGGTTTATACAATGAAAGAGGTAAAACATCTGGTATTTGGGCAAGTTCCATATTAAGTTCTCTGTGGTGTAGCCTACTTGGATTCCAAGGTTATGGGTCTTTTCAGAGCAGGGTGTCAGGGCTGAGGGGGGATCGAGACCAAGACCCAGACATGGTTACTGACGCTCTGACCATGCACCCAACTGCCTCACATGAGCAGTGAGTTCAGGACCCTCTCTTCCAGTCGTGTTTGCTCCTCCCACCTACTCAGGGAGTGGCTGTTCCCGCAGGAATGTTGGTGGCTCACCGCTCTGTCCCCTGGGGAGAAGGCACCCTGGGTGCTGTGCCCAAGCAGCCCGGCCCTGGAGGGGTGGGGGTGGGGGCCAGCTCTCGGCTTTGTCCTGGAAATGGCCCCCTGGCCCTGCTGGTGATGAAGGGCATCAATCTGCAGCACAGACAGGTGTACGGCACGAGCACCCTCACTCACAGGTAGGAGGGTTGCGGAAGGTCATGTGCAAGCTTCCTCAGGCTGCGGCCTCCACAGTCTCCTGCAACCTGTTGACCTAAGGCAGGCCCCACATCTCAGCCGACACTCTGCCCCGTGGATGGTGTGGGTTTCAGGGCTCAGCCCCTGTCTCCGTGTCTTTTCTGTGCCTGTCCAAGCAGCTTCGCTCAGTCATGCAGACGCAGTGACTGAAGGCCTGTGTGGCACCAAGCCCTGCGCCAGGAGCAGGGGATCTAACACAAAGCAAGACTCCCTCCTGGCACTGGGGAGCTTCTGGGCTTTTGCAGGGCTTCCCGTGGGAACCCTGTTCCATGGTCTCAAGGTGTGTGCCTCTGGATAGCAGCAGCAACATTTTTAATATCCTATTTAATAAGAGCCTAATATGCAAATTGTCCTCTTGGATGGGAGTTCCACAGGGAGGCCAGGAGTTCTACTGCTTGCTATTACATGTGCTGGCCACCAGGGGACAGCGCGGAACATTGCTGCCATTGGCAATGCACTGTGACCTCTCGCTTGCTAACCTGGAGCGGGGGTGACAGGGATGGAGGTGCTGTAAGGATGCAAGCTCGTTCTCACTCCCCTGCATCCCTCCCTGGGACACCAGGGCTCGCCCACCAGGGAAGCCCCTGAGCTCAGGTGCTGGGTGCCCAGGAGGAGCCCACCCTGCACCCGCACAAACTTGTTAAGGTGAGCCAGGCCACAGCAGCCAGGACCACAGGGGCCTGTTGGGCTCCTGGTGGGTTTGAGCAGGAGCTGGTCTGCAAGGCCAGCCAGGAGAGAGCATGCTGCCCTCCCTGCTTCTGGGGGACACCACTGGGTGGCTCAGAGGCCTACACTGCTCTCCGGCCCGCAGTGTCCGGCCATGCTCACCGCATCTCTGTGTGGAGACTTGGGCACCATGACTCAGGTGCGGGGATGAGGGGGGTGTGCGGGGGCCAGGGGCCCAGATGCTGCCCTGGGCCCAGAGGTCAGCTGGCCTCCCTTCCACGCCAGATGCTCGCACTTGGATCTCCGGCCAGGCCTAGGGACCGCACCCAGCAGGAATTTCATGCACCGGGCCTCTAGTCGATTAATAATTTTGCTGTGAAATTAGTAATGCTTTACACTTTGCATTATTAAATGAATTACAAGAGAAACAGAGTGGTCCATGGAGGCCAGGCCACATAGAGGATGAGTCACACTGTTCTCCAAGGCCCGTGTGCCGGGGCCCAGGGAGCCGAGAGGACAGAGCTTGCACCTGCACGCTCACATCACAGTGGTGCCAACAGCCCTGCAGGCTGTGTGCAGCCTCCCGTCAGCCCTGCTGGGCCAGGTTTACTGTGTGCAGCTCGAGCCCCTGAGGGCAGGGGCAGGGGCCTGTCTGACTGCATGCCTGGGGCTGGCACACACAAGGCACTTGGTAGTGACCACACACGTCAAGTAAATCCCATCTCAGCATGAAAAGACTTGCAACCTGGGGAGAAGGACGGGGGAATCAGAGGTGTTGTCTCCTTCGGACGGTGACAGTGTCAGGTGTGATGGGCAGCGGAGCAGAGAGCCAAGCACGACTGTCACGTGGACACCCACCATGTGGGGCCCTCCTATGGTTACAGGGGGAGCCACAGATGGCCCGGGTGCCCTCCCCAATAGCCTGTCCAGTGTCGCCACTGAGAAACACATAAAAGGGGAGGGTGGTAGTGCCACAACCCGAGGAGAAAGGCCTGGGCGTCCCTAGGCACACCTGGGAAGTGGGGGTGCACCGGGTGATCCTTGACTCTGTCTGCAAACACTCATCCTACCTCTGCTCCCAGGGCCCGGGGTGGAGGACAGAGGCAGAGAGAGAGTGCCTGGGCAGTCCCTCTGGTCCCATGCTTTGTCCTTGGCTGAAATTCCCGCCACCAGGGGCAGACATGGGGGTGCCTTGAGGGTCCTGAGCAGCTGAGGGCCAGCGGGGCCTGTCTCTGCCCCTCAGAGAGGGATGGGCACTTAGCTTCCTGGGCAGGGCTTGCTCCCAGAGGCGGCGGAGGCTCCGCAGGCGAGTCCCAGCTCTCACTCCACTTGCTGGGTGTGGAGCAAGCCTTGTCCCGTCCATCACAGGAGAGGTGGTCCAGGTCCCTCTCATCCCCTCGTGCCCTGGCACCGGGTGGTGTTGATAGGAACACGTTTCTAGTGAGCTTATTACGCGAAGTTCTGTCCACAGATGGGGCCCCTGGTTGGGATCGTGCAGGGAGGGGCAGGGCAGGTGGTGGCAAGTCAGGTAGGAGCTGGGTTTAAGATCGGACCGTGGGTCAGGTGGTCTCACACTCTCTGCCTCCTCCAGCCCCAGCCTTTGCCACTTTAGGACTCAGGCACAGCTTCTCGGGGTCTTGTCTCTCACTTCTGCGGTGGTGGGTGTGCAAAGCAGGTTTAGATGTTTCTGCTGCCTGATCCATGGGAAGGTTGACAACCCCAGAAAACTGAGGCCCATTGGAAGAGTAGCTATAAATCATTTAGTTCCACACTATACTCTGCTTCTGGACACTTGTCCACCCCTGCCTTTCCCCAGGTCCTTCAGGGCCCAACTCACATGGCACCTCTGACTCCCCCTCATGCTGTGATTCAGCTGACAAGTGCCTTTGAACATTTCTAGGGGCCCCACGAGAAGAGGAGTGGCATAGTCCTGCCCTGCAGGCCTAGCCTTGGGGCGAGGGGGGGGGGCTGCGGACAGGCCAGTTCTATGTTGCCTCATAGTGGGCACTCTGGTGCCCCAGCATCTGACTCAGTGGGTGGGATAGAGTGGAGTTGAAGTCCTTTTCAGAGCAGGCAATTCGGGCTGGGTTTTGAAGGCTGAGTAGGAGTTGGTTGTAAGAATGACCAGGCAGGCTTTGCTATAGGAGTTCAGGGCCTGAGAGTATGGTGATACTGGTGAGTACTGGTGGGTAGACACAAGATGAGAATTCTGGGGGCAGTGACCAAGGGGGGAGAGCTGGGCCTCCTGCCTGTTGAAGCCCCTCCATGTGCTCCAGCTCACATAGCTGATAGTAGTCAGGGCTTCTTACTGAGGCGGGCTCCTTAAGGATAAGGTGCAGGCTGCTGAGGGCAGTGAAGAGACAGGTCTGGAGTTCTGCAGCCTGAGTTCAAGCCCAGCTTCACCCCTGGCTGGCTTTGTGACTTGGGGCTCATTCCTTAATTGACCCAAGTCAGCCTCTTCGTGTGTAGGAAGGGACTGTCCCTGCCTCCCTCTGGGCGCTGTTGTGAAAGTGAATGTGGCAGAGTCAGAGAGCACCTAGTGCAGGGCCGGGGACTGGCAGGGAGGGGGCTGTCTGGTGAAGCCAGAGTCAGTGACCAAACCCTTCCAGATGCCAAGCGTTGACCAGAACCGTGTCCACTGCCGGTAGGTGCACGGTTTCCCCTCTACGGAGAATCCAGGGTTCTGGCCCTTTCGGGGAAATGAACACGTGATGGATAAGCAGGAGCTACCGGCCCGCTCCCAGGTGTTAGAACCCGTGAGTGGGGCAAGCCTTGGAAAACAGCCCGCCAGGAGAAATGGGCATGTCCCCGTGTATGCGTGCTCGCAGACTGAGGGCATTCAGGGGAGACTCAGTCCTCCTGAGCCTGAGTGGCGCTGGGAGTTCTCCGGGGGGTGGGAGCAGGAATGAGGGGAATGAGCTGTGTGCTGGGCGCTGGGACAGGAGTAAGTGCAGTGGACGCCTCCCGTGGGGGCCTGTGAGGGCCCAACCATTGTGTTCCACCCCCAGCATGTGCCTGGCACACAGAGGCCATATGACTTGTTTGCTTGTTGTGTCTTACAGACCCCTCATTTCTGGGAAACTGCCCAGAGCTGTTGTTTTTCTAAGAGTAGGTGTGTGACATGTTCCAATAGGAACTGCGTATTGAACAAAAGCTCGTCTGAATTTTGTTCCTGGACCCAGATCAGTGGAGTGACTGTGAGAGGCCTAGACTCGGCCCTCAAAGCCAGGACAGACTCTCAGCCTCACCCCTTCCTTGTTTAAGAAAGTGGCTCAGCCAAGTCCCACATCTGTCAGCAGGTGCACTGGTCCAACCACCGAGGCTGTACATGTCAGACACTCTCACAGTGTTCCCTTCCGAATTTAAATAGTGTCTTGCTTTGGGGATTTTTCCATCTGGCCTGGCCTAATGGAGAAGGGCAGGGGCTCAAAAGTGGAGACAGAACTTCCCGCGGCAGCAGAGTCACCCCTAGGTTGTTGGTTTGGGTCCAGTGACTGGAAGAGCTGTCGTCATGACCAGGGGCCTTAACCTGATGGCTCTCATGTGTGTTCTTGCTGACCAGGTGCGGACTGGAGACAATTATTCAGTGGACACAAAGGGCCACCTCCAGGAGCATTGGATTTGGTATTGGATTGATAAGCTATTCGAGCGGGAGGAGGATAATGTGCAGCTGAAATTGAAGCTGCACCACCTACAATTGGTAGGACAAGCTGTGGTCACCACGTGTAACACAGATGGGGGCAATTTTAGGTTCATGTTGTGCCCCTCTCTGATGTTCACCTACTGGATCGGTGCTGCTGCCACCACAGTGACCCTCTGAGGGAAGAGAGTCACTTGCTAAGCCCAGTGGCTTGAGTGGGCACCACTGAAGCCTCCAACACAGAGAGGGCCTGATGCTGTGTTGCTTTTCTGTGAGGATGGAGGGATTGGGCCACTGTTGCAAAAAGGGTCTCCTCCGGCGTTTATGATGTGGGTTGAGCTGTGATTTGTGAGTCCCTACGGCCTTTCCACGGTATTAGGCCTTCTAAGGGGCCACAGAGCTGCAGTCACCATAGCACTTGCTCTAAAGCCCTGAGCTGTAGGTCACTTTGTTCAGACACCGCTCAGAGACCTCAGGTGTCTTCATCCCCTAGGGACATGGAGGCCCTTCATCCTGGGGGAATGAGGACAGATGCACGGGGCCGGGGCTTGTCCAGAGTGTGCCCCAGTCCACATCCTCACTGCCCCCCCACTTCCTGCACTAGGACCGGGACACATACCAGAAATGCCTTGAGAAGCTGCGGGAAGATAACATGGCCCTCAAGACTGCACAGGGGCAGAGTGTGGAGGAGTCCGCCCACCTACGCTGGGAGCTGGAGCAGCTGTCAAAAGGTAAAGCAGGTGCCTGGGAGCCAGCCTGGCTGTGGATTCTCTCTTACCCGGGAAGCTGAGCCCTTGGCTCTGAAACTCATGTGTCAGCCCTTCCTCTACCCAAGTAAATAGGGTTTTATTCAAGGGCCATTTGGAACTGTTTTATTGCAATTCTCTCCAAGAACATGAAGGGCCTAGCCACTTTGAGTCAGGAAGCCAAATGCAAAGGAAGTGTTGCCAGATTTCTCAGCTTCCATTCAGCCAGTGCCAGGAGATTCCAGGTGACAGCACGCTGATGCCCAGAGGGTGTCTTAGATCTATCAGTGGAGGATTGGAAGCTCTGGATGCAGGAGACGTCCCCAGTGGTCACTCACCTCCATTATAGTTGTACCCGGGGCATGGATTCCTCCTTTGATTTCATAATCGGACAGATGGGTGTAGTCTGCTCTCCGTCTTCCTGGGCAGGGGCTGCTCAGTGGCTGCTGTTCAGGGGACCCAGGCCTCTTCCTCTCCCTCTGGTGTTGCCCCCTCCCAGCCCCCAGAGGAGATGAGGGGTTGGCCAGGGAAGGTGGGTGTGGTGGCCGGTCGTACAGTAGGAGCCTCAGCACCCAGCAAACAACAAGCCAGTTCCTGTGTCCAATAATAGCACACGTGCACCTGAGAGTGCAGGTTAGGGTTTGCTTAGAGCTCTGCTGAGCCAGGAGGGCCTTAGGCTGGTTTGGGGAGGGGCTTCTTTTAAATTCTGAGCAACATTCCTCAGTGTCATGGAAAGGCTGTTGAAAGCAGCTGGGTATTCCCCTCTTCAAGGCGTCCCATCTGCTCCAAACCTAAAATCAGTTCATTGAACTATGAGTCTGTGTGAGAAGTTAGTTCTTTCTGTGGTTTGGTGTCTCCCCACTCCTGGGAACCCAGGCTCTGGGAGTTGAGGTTCCTGGGCAGCACACTGCCCCCTGGTGGGACACAGAAGTGGTGCCACTGGCAGGGACTGGCTCAGACCAAATGTGCTTCTGTTAGCAACCAGGGTGGCTGATGGGGTTGGAAAGCCTCCCTGATTCAGATGCTCAGTGTAGCTTGTGAGCCCTTTCAGGTCGATGACTGACTTCTTCTTCATGTTCCCAACTCCTACTGCTTAGCTGGCAGCTCACGAACAAAGCATGAACGTACTTTTTGTGGTTGGGGTGGTGGCTTCTTGAGTCAGAAAGGCCTGGTTTAAAGTCCTGGCTCCTCTACTTGTTAGCCAAGTGACCTCTTCTGCACCTCAGTTTACTTATCTGAAAAATGGGGGTGATGAAGCTGCCTCACAGGATTGCTATGGGTATCTTGTGAGAGGAGACAGTGAAGCGTTAGGCTGTGCCTGGCCCACGGGGCGGCAACAAAGGATGGCTGTTCTTCTCACCCTTGTCTTATCCACTGCTCTGCTTCTTGGGGTGCTCGTGAGCAGCCCTACTAGCAGTACAGTGCGATAAGGCTCCCAGAGCTGAGTGTATGGCCTGGAGGGACAGGTGAGGGAACAACCCTGAGCCCTCAGACAGTCATGTTTTCCTCCTGAACAAGCCCCGGGACTTTCCCAAAGTCACGCACCTGCTGGCGGCAGGGAGGGGCCTCGAACTCCCATTCTTCTCAGGTCTGTGCTCCCTTTCTGTTCCGCATTGAAGCTGTTTAAAAGCAAAGGAGGACATTGCCTTTTTCTGGCTTTACCTTATGTTTTCATCTCGCTTAGAATTTTTAAAGCAGTTTGGATATACTGTCTCATTCTCTTTCAATGCATTTGTGAAAGTATAAAATGAAATCTCTGACTGAAGGAACTTACCCAGAGATGGCGAGTACTGGGCATATGTGCCCCATAGCCTCTTCCACCCACAGACATGCGGTCAGTGATCGTGTTCCCCTACACCCTCGGCTGAGCCACCTGCATTCACACCACTCTGAGGCTGGCACAGAGAGCGCACTCTGCCATCTCCGTTAGTCTCTGAAATCCTTGGCTTGACGGTCAGGTTAAAACTTGGCAGAAAGTGGTGCCAGCAGTTCCATCATCTTGAACGTTTGCATTGCCTTCTCTCTACCATCACCTGCTTTACTCTTAAGCTCTGCTTGCTCCCCTGACAAACCCAGCTGAGCCAGCAGAGGGGCCATAACCGCCCGAGGAACCCTCAGGTGCAGTCAGCAACAGCACCCTGGGAAAAAGGGAGGGCACCCAGCTGACCATCCCAGACCCTCAAGCCTAGGGCTCAGGGTGATGGCCATCTCAGGGCCGGTGGCAGAGAGCAGAAGCTGAGGCCCCTGGAATATGGGCTCTGACTCCACTTTGCTCTTCAGCCTCCAGCTGCTTCCTGAAGCTGGACCAGGAGAAGCAGAGCCTCCAGGGCACCATCCAGGGGCTGCGGGACGCCTCCCTGGCCCTGCAGGAGAGCAGCCTCCAGCGCCAGGAGCTGGAAGAGGAGAACCAGCAGCTCAGAAAGCAGGTACCCGTGGGTGGTGTCCAGAACATACGGGCATGTAAGTGGCCAGGGGGAGCACCCAGGTGTCCATGAGCATGCGCAGCTGGAGAAAGGCCGAGTCCCGTGCAGCCACCGTTTTGGTAGGGGGACAGGAGGCCTCCTGGAGAGGCGTCAGGAGCAGCAGGAGGAGTCCCTGCAGCAGTGAGACCACACACGATGGACCTCTGTGGGCCTCGCTGCCTTCATCTGTGAAATGGGGTTAATGATGCACCCACCAGTAGGTGTGGTGAGGATGGTGTGAGTTAGTGCAGGCAAAGGGTCCAGCCTGTAAGTGCCTCATGGAAGGAGAGCAGCGCCCTCTTCGAAACCACCGAGCGGGCCCGGGAGAGAAGCAGCTATGGAAGACTCGGCCCGTGTGGAGACCGTGGCTGGGCCGTTTCAGGGCATGGCTGCTGGTGACAGGAGGCAGTGCTCACTCTCTCCTTTCGGTCGAGGGCATGAGGAAGAAGAGATGGCTGGACGGCATTGCCTTTCTGGACAAACCAGGTCTTCCCAGTAGCACAGTAGAAGAGACATCTGGGAGGACAGGCAGGCTCACCAGCCAGGTTCATCCTACAGTTACCAGGACCCCATTCACATGACAAGAAGGGCCCTGAGAGGCTAGCGACGGCCTCCCTGAGCAGGTCATTCTGGGTCAGAGGGCCTCAGTCCATGTAGCCACCACGGGTGACACAGCTGCGTCGTGGGCTCTGAGCACACCGTGACGGGTGCCGGGATTCCGGATGAGGGAGGCGCAAGGGCACTCCTGCTTGCTGACCCCCTGGCAGGACTGGTGCTTTCAGGTGTCTGGGTGTCTGTACCGTCCGGCCCAGGGGTCCTGCCAGCGTCATTTGCTGAGGCTGCCCCGGCGATGGCAGGGACGTGGGCTGCAGACCAGAGACCTGGGTCCCACTGGTCACGGCTCTGCTGGAACTTCATCTCTGGGTGAGGCTTGGGACCGCCCCTCCTCCTGTGCAGTGGTTTCTCCAGGCCTCTCATGGGACGTCCAAGGTTCAGTGACTGACACTTCTCGTCCTTTGAGGCTCAGTGCGCCTCGCAGCAGAGCAGCTGCCAAGCAGTGTGTCCTCTCCCTGGGGGCCGGGAGGAAGCCCCTCCTCATGCCGTGTCTCTCTGTGCAGCGCAGCTCAGGGAAAGCCACCGGACAGTCTGGGTTTTAGATTCACGTGGGCCGGGCACAGTGAATGTCTCTGTAAATGGCAGCCCGACCTCGGCTGAGATAAAAAGGCTTGACCTTTAGAAAGATGAGAACCTCCAACGGGGCGGGTCCCCAGGGGTGAGCTGCAGAGGCCTGTGCTGTAGCCTCTGGCCCAGCTCCCGGCAGGGATGAGAGATGACCCCTGACACTTCTGTCCTTGGGGTCCACTCCAGTCCCTCCTCCACACACACAGGACAGGTGGTGGCTGCCGCCTTCCCACATGACTCCTTAGCCCTGTCTCTCGGGTCCCATCCCCTGCTTCTTCTCCTGATCAGTTCCCTGTAGGACTCCTGGGCAGTCCTGCCACATCCCTCAGAGACCTGTCTTGGCTCTGAGCCCCTAGTGGGGGAAGGGGCTGCAGTTTGCAGTCCAGCACTCTCCTTTGTCTGCTGCCAGGAGCCCTGCGAAGGCGGCCCTTCTGCTCTCCTCCCTGTCCTGCTCTGCCAGCTTGAGGCCTGGCTGCATCATGGGTCCTCCCTCATGTTTGATTGATGGTGCATCTGGGCCATCAGCTAAAAGCCACAGGGGACATGGCCTGACATTGACCTCCCTGGAGCCAGGACAGGCCCAGCCTTGGACACGTCCAGACAACATGGCCCTCTGGGAGGTGTCTGAGAAGGAGAGACAAGGGTCAGCCAGGACAGGTGGCCCAGAGTCCCAGGCCCCCCGGTGCCAGCTCAGCTATCCCACCACCCAGTGTCTCCCAGGCTGTAGGCTCCCTTCGGTCTGTATAAACCTTAGTTCCCGAAGTTCACGTCCTTCCCTGTAACTCACGACCCTTCTGTGGACCTTAGAGAGGGTGTGCCCCCCACCCTCACTTTGCACTGACATCCTCAAAGTTCATTCCTCTTAGGAAGAGGGGCAGCCCTTTGGGGCCTATCGTGGGCACAAAAGTGCAGGACAGGGGCTGATGGGCAGGCCCCTGGCACCCGCGTGCTCTGGGGACCTGGAGCCTCCCCACAGGAGTCCGCGGCCCAAGCCTGGTGCTTTGAGGAAGACAGGAAACCCATCTCAGCCCAGCGATCTCTCAGAGTGGTTCTCAACCTTCCTAATGCCGCGACCCTTTAATACAGTACCTTGTGTTGTGGTGACCCCCGATCATAAAATTATTTTCGTTGCTACTTCATAACTGTAATTTTGCTACTGTTATGAATCGTAATGTAAATATCTGATATGCAGGATGTATTTTCATTGTTTGAGACCCACAGGTTGAGAACCGTTGCCCTAGGGGAAGGGATGGCCTTCAGGGACAGACAGAAGTGAGAGTTCCAGTTCCACAGCAAAAAGGAGCAGAGAAAGATGGGATGTCTGGCCAGGGGGAGGGGGGGACATGAGGCAGTCACATCTTCAGACCAGAAGCAGCCATGCCAGATATGCAAAGGTTGGACATAACATTCCTTTCACTGGGACAGACGGAGCGGCAGGGGAGAAGGATTAACAGTAAGACGGGGAGGGGTGAACAAGGCAGGAGGTTGGCGGGGGGACACACCCCAGATCTTGTCTGAGAGAGCAGGCCTGGGGTCGGCCCACTACCATGCGTTCGGCGCTGCCGCATCCTCACTGTGGGACTCTGGGCAGATCACTGGACTCCCTGGGCCGGTGCCCTTCTCTGAATGAGGGTGAGTGACAGCTGTGCAGGGCCTTCCTCCTCAGGGCCAGCTCCAGAGCAGGCACGGCTATCAGGGCAGATGCCTGCTTCCTGCTGAGCTCAGACCTGGTGCTAGGAAGTGGGACAGCGATAAGGAAGGAGAAGAAAGATGTTCTCACTTGTGAGAAAGACTCAAACAGGTGGCACCTTGCAGCGCCTTTTGCTGTTGGCCCTGGCTGGTGGGGCTGCCCAGTCCCCATGTTGGGGCAGGGGGCTGGGTGTGCCCACAGGGTGCTATGAGGGCACGGATATGAGCCCCACTGTGCCTGACCCTCCCCCTCATGGGGAAGAAGCTGCCTGCCTGCTGCTTCCGAGGAGTCTGGAGGCTGTGCCCAGACCTGTGAGATAAAGGCAGGGCGGCCTCTCGCACGAGAAGTAGGCAGAGCTGGCATTAGAGCAGAGATCCTTCTGGTAATTTGTAAACCTGCCTGTTCCAGGCCCCTCCCAGCCAGTTGAATGGAGCTGGCTCTTGGACCTGCTGCCCACGGGGTCACTGGGTGTCTGAAGGTCCTGCCCTGAGAGGTTCTAGTTGGTGGCCTGAGGTCTGGGGTGTTTAAAAGCTCTGAGAGCCACCTGATCTGGATTGTGGGGCTCCTCTGTTTTAGTTTTAGAGCCGTCAACCCAAACCAGCATCAGGGTCACAAGTCCAAATGCAGGCTCTTGGGCCCCTGCCCAGACTGACCATGTCAGAAGCTCTGAGGGTGGGAGGGGCCTGGCACTCTCAGGAGGGGTCAGCTCTTGTTGCACTTGCCACCTCCCAGGTGTGAGATGAGCACGTCACCCTGACAGAAGCTGGCGCCCATGCCTGCTGCTTGCTGGCCCTGTCAGTTACGGAAATGCACTCGTGGTCACATTGTTAGCAGGGAGCCACACTCTTCCCCTCACAGGTGGTCATGAGTTTGCTGTCAGTGGGAAGGGACAGCAGCACGAGCCTCGCCTGGGAGTCGCACCTCAGGGCCCACCCTGAGTCTGAATCTGCATCCATCACGGTGTTCAGGTGTCAGGCACAGAGTGTGAGACCTGCGGGTCCAGGCAGTTCATGTTGAGGGAGTGGGCACCGGTGGGTCCGCAGAAGAGCTCCGTGACGGGCCGCTGATTGGGCATCGTCCAGGAAGGACAGAGGGGGTCTGGCCTGGGCAGCAGTGGGGTGTGGAGGGGGAGCCGAATGGGGAACGAGCACAGGCCTTGGTGGTCCATTTACTTGGAGGGGAGAGGAGGGAGAGACATGGCAGAGGACCCCTCAAAGCAGATGGATGAATAGGAATGTCACCAACTGGGTGAAGTCCCGGTAGGACATCCAGTGGTGGCTGATGGCCCCAGGAATGTGGCCTGACCCTCAGGACAGTAGTGGACACGACCTAAGATGTAAGCATTGAGAGTGAGCAGTGGAAAGCTGGGAGGAAAGCTGACCTATTGGTGTCCATGGCCTTTTTCTCTACCATGAGCTGGACGTGCACACCATGGCTGAGAGGTGATGGTCAGGGTGTGGGGAGCTCACTGCACAACTAGGCCTGACCTGGGCAGTGGCTCAGGGATGCCACCCAGGTGCCTGGCTTCTCCCTTCCTGCTCTGCAGTCTTGGCATTGGCTGAAGTACTACCCCGAGAAGTGGGATGGAAGGTTTCCCCTTGAGAAAAGGCCTGATAAAGTGTTCCGTGGAGATGACAGGTTTTGTGTTTGCTTTAAAACACAGTTCACTCCCTGAAACGGACATTTGCATGGGGTCGGTCTTTGGTTCCACAGATTGAAGACTTGCGAGTCCAGATGGAAAGAGAAAAGCAGACCAGCCAGGATCTGGAGACTCTCTGTGAGGAGCTGGTGGAGGAGAGAGAACAGCTGCTCCGTGACAATAAGACCCTGAAGGCTGAGAAAGCCCAGGAGGTAGGCCCTCCAGCGCCATGCCTCCCCTGGCTCCCCGGCCTGCAAGAGTGTGAGTCCAGGATCATAGGATGTCCTGGGAATCCAGCAGTGATTCCTGGGTTACCAGTTTCTGCCCACAGCTGAAGCTCACACCAGCAATTCCAGCCACAGCAGGGGCACGGGGACAGATATTGCTTCCTAGGGACACTGGCAATCTTTTTGTTTGTTCAGTCTATTTTTTATTTATTTCAGAGGGAAAGGGAGAAGGAGAGAGGGATAAAAACATCAATGATGAGAGAGAATCATTGATCAGCTGCCTCCTGCATGCCACCTACTGGGATCCAACCAGCAAAGTAAACATGTGCCCTTACCGGTAATCGAACCGTGACCTCCTGGTTCATAGGTTGATGATGCTCAATCATTGACCCATACTGGCTGGGCAGCACTGGACATCTTGTTTATGATTGTCATGACTTGGGGGAGGAGAGTGGAGGTGCTCCTGGCTGTGCTCCTGGCTGTGGTGGGTGAGGCCAGGATGCTGCTAAATGTCCTGCAGCACATGGGACAGCCCACAGGACAAAGATCCCCCTTCAAATGTCCAGCTTCATGCTCAGAGCTCTGGAGAACCTCCAGGGTTGATCTGCCTCACACTACAGGAAGTCCCAGGGTAGGCAGCCCAGTGCTGGGGCAGCGGCTCAGGGACACCACCCAGAAACCAGGCTTCTCTCTTCCTGCTCTGCCAGTCTTGGCCGTGCCTGTTGTACCTGGCCAAGAAGTGGGCAGGAAGAATGTGGAGGGTGAAGAGACAGAGGGAAGGCCTCCCGGGATCCTCTGTGTACATCTCATTGGCCATGCCGGACACATGATTAACCCTAGCTGCAAGGGAGGCTGGGTATAACGTACTTGAGTATTTAGCCTCTCTAGTATTGCAGGAAAGGGGCTTGGGGTGGTGCTGTGTAGACTTAAGAGGCATGCATCCACCCTCCCCCAATATGGCTTCCAGTCTAGGAGGTGGAATGACAGGTGACAAGCCAGGTAACTTGAGATGTGTGCTATTGAGGGAATATACGAGGGTCCAGGGAGAGTCTTATTAGGTGCAGGACATTTAGAATCCTGGTGCAGGGCTTCCCTGAGGAGCTGTCAATCACACTGAGCCCTGGATGATGAGAAGGAGCCAGAGAAGCTGGAGGCTGGGGGTGGAGGCAGGTGAGCATTCACAGCAGAGGGAAGATCATGTGCAATGTCTGCAGGGGAGAGTGGTGTGAGGAGTGGCCACAGGGGTGGGCGGTCAGCTCTTGAACCACTGTGGACCAGGGTAAAAAGCACCAAAAAAATCACTTTCATTGTTTTAAGAGAAGATGCGGTTTCTGTTTCTAAGTCATCTGGCTTCTGTGAAAGTGTTTAGACTTGAACTGTCTGGGTGGGGATCTCCATGCCCTTCACCTTGTGTCCATATCAGGCCTTTGGGAAACGTTAGGACGTCCTTTGGGTCCATGATGAGATGGACATTCCAGGCCTACACTTTGGGCCTCCAGTTTGGACCGAAATCATGCCTGTGTCGTTTCCTTGTGTTTTCCTGCAGTTCAAGGATCTGAAAAAACTGGTGCATTCACTGCGGGATAGTTCACAGACCAGCAGCAAGGCCCGCATGAAGGGCAGGAAGACTGAGCAAAAAGTCCTCCTCCAGACGGTGACGGACACCAAAAGGAAAGTGACCATGATGGAGTGGGAGCGGCGGCAGCTGTGCCGGGACCTGGAGCAGGTGAAGGCGCAGGCGGCGCAGGCACAGGAGCTGGAGCACATGAAGGTGCGGGTGAAGGAGCACGTGGTGCGGGCACAGGAGCTGGAGCAGGAGCTGCATCGGCTGCAGGAGGAGATCGAGAAGCTGGCCATGGAGGTCAGCGCCCTGACGACGGCCCCTGAGAGGGTCCACGCCCTCGAGTGGGAAAGCCAGGACCTGTTGCTGGAGAACCAGAGGCTGCAGACGTCTCTGGACACCCTGAAGCCTGAGGGTCTGGAGCGGGACAAGCAGCTGGACACCAGGGTAATTCTGGCCTCAGAATGAGTCAGGACGGTTCCTCCCCGGTCAACTCTCTGGTGCTTTGTATGCGGTTGGATGGGTGTTGTGTAAATATTGGTGAAATGGGTTGGTAGTGCTGTTCAGGTTCTCTGTGTCCTTACTGAATTTCCATGCACTTTTCAAAGTATTCAGAGAGGGTACCCAAGGAGGTTATCCAGAGAAAGGGCAAAAATTGCCAAGAAAGGTCACATGTGCAGGGAGGGGCCCAGGACTAAGCTTAGGCCCATGGGACAGTCCGTTTCTGCCGTGGGCCTTCCCAGAGCGGTTCCTTGAGTGCAAGTAGAATTGTCCTCAGCTCGGCTTGGTGTTGCCTCTCCTGAGGGTCCTGCTATTTTGGTGTCTGCACTTGACCCGCTGTTGGTCCCTCACTGCGTGTGGGGACCTGGGGATCCAGAGTCTGTGGTCCCCCTGGGCCTGCACCTGATGAGGTGTCATTTCCTTCTCCCTCCAGCAGGTGGAAAATTCCACTCTGAGCTCCCAGAGCGCCTCGCACACTGCGCTCACAGAGCAGGACACTGAGCTCCAGCACCAGCAGCTGGTGGCAGCCCACCAGGCCCTGCAGCAGGAACACGCGAGCCTAGGCGCACTCCACGAGCACCCGACTAAGGAGCACACGGCCCTTCTGGACAAGGACCGCCGCCATAAGACACTGCTGTGTCGGACCCTGGAACTGGAGAGCAAGGCTCTCAGTGACAGGTGGGTGCCTGCGGCTGGGGGTGACTGACGGGCTCCCCGGGCTCCTGTCCCCCCTTCACTCTGGTCCCTCATGTTTCCTCTGTCCCGCTGCTTCACAGTGAAGAGAAGTAAATCCACCATCTCCCTCAACGATGTGGAGTTGGTGCGGCTGGAGACTGAGGGGCAGGAGGGTCCCCCAGGGGAGAAGGGTGTGCCCACTAATCCAGGCTCAGGGAAACCAGGTGTCAGCATTGGCGTCCCAGCTCCCCTGGGCATTCCTACCCCCTTTTCCTTTTCTCTCCAAACCAAGGACAAGGAGGGGAAGTCACCACAGCTGCCGATGTTCAGGGGCGTGCCTCACCGAGCTCCCCAGGCCTTTTCCCTGTCCAAATCTCTAAGTCTGGGCTTCTGATTTTCTTTTTTTACTTTTAATTTTGGAAACTTTTGAATATATGGACGTGTACACAATAGTATAGTGAAAATCCTGTGTTCCCCTCACCTGCAGCAGCATTACCAATACTCGGCCATTCTCCTGTCACCTTTACCTATGACTCTCCATATACCTTTTTAAAGGTAAAATTGATGTACCTTAAATGCATAAATCTTAACTTTGTGCTTTTGCAAAATCAGGGCTTTGTGTGCATATAGTCAGCCAACTTCGGCTGAGCTCCTGGCCAACAGATCCCTGATTCAGTGGCCCTGGCAGGTGAAGCGGGACCCAGAGCCTGGGGGAAGTGAGATGTACGGAGAACTCCAAGGTGCGGGGGGGGGGGGGGGCGGCTGGAGAGATGCAATCCCACACTTGGAGCAGCACAGGAGGGAGCAGCACAGGAGGGAGCTGTCCACCTTCTGTGCTTGTGAGTTGTCCCTGCTGAGGTCTTCCCTTGCCTCTGCCTCAGCAAGATGCTAGGCAAAGGCTGGGGCTTTCCTGGGAACAGCTGAGGTGCTGGGATTTGGCATCACAGGGACCAGGGAGGGCGCTGAGCCTGCAGAGCCTGTGGAGGGCTCCTGTTGCTGCATGAACTTGGGGGCAATGACGTTCATTTATGCACTCACCCAGTGCTGCCTGTGGACTCTCTGCAGAGCCTTCCACCCCTTTCTCCACCCAGATTCCCATCCTTCGGGGGTGCCGGGCCGTCTGCTCCTATCAGACTCTCGTTTCTTCCCACCAGAATGAGTATCTTCTGCCTCTTGGCATCTCCCTCACTGCCTCCTCCGCACCTGTCCTGTGTTCACGAGACGCTTAGTGAGCACCCACTGGGCGCCTGGTGCTGTCTAACGTGGTGGGAATGCACCCAGCTGACTACTGATGGGAGCCTCCCGTGGTGCCCACCCCGCACCAGGTGCTGCGGGCCTTACCCTCAATGCCCTATGATAACCGTGTGGATATATTCTTATGTCTGTTCACATGGGAAGGTTTGTCCAGGTGGCATTTGACTGCTCTGAGGGAGGAGTTCATTGTTCGGCCTGTGACTCCTTGCTTGATGGACCTACTGTGTGATTCAGTGGTTTTTGCTGGTTGGACAGATAGCTGGAGGCCCTTGGTGTGTCTGCAGCATGGCTGCAAGTTGGAGGTGGAGGTGCCTGGAACACAGGCCGGGGGCTCTGTATTCACCTGACACTTGACTGGGACACTCGCTCCTTCGTTCCCCTGGTGCACATGTACTGGGTGTCCAGCCTCGTACCCAGGATTCAGTGGGGAGTAGGACTCCCAGTTTCTGCCCTGCCGGAGGGTCCTTACTAATGGTTGCGATATGCTTGATCCTGTGCTTTTCCAAGACACAACAGGGAAGCAGGAGGTGGGGACCCTAATGGTCCTTAGCCCTGTTTCTCAAACCTGGATGAGAAAGATCGCCGCCCTGAAAGCCCAGCAGAGCCTTCATCCCCACCTTCCACGTCCCATGTCCCGTCCTGGCAGTCTCCACCCATGGCTAAAGGCCACAGGAAGGAACGTTTGTCTTCCAACAGCCACTCGAGCAGTTGTCTGAGTTTGAGTCCCCACAGGTCTTGGCTCCAGACAGAGGGTACAAATACAGCTGATATGGGGTCGGGGGAGGAGGGCCGGGGATGGAGGGCTGAGGGCAGGGGCTGAAACCATGGAACCTGGGTGGTCTCTGTCAGCCTGTCTCTGGGTGTGGACACCTCAGGAAGTGGGTCTGGAAAGGCATTTGCCTGCCTGGGGAAGATTGAAAGGTGATGGCTCAGTCTCCACCTTGGACCTGGGGGGCCCCCCCGAGTCACCCTGAACAAGGAAGGTTCCTGCAGGAGGAGGAGCAGCCTGGGGCTGGTCAGGGGCTCCCTCTTGTGCTCTGCTGCCCTCCAGAGAGGCTGTGCGGGACCCTCTGCAGACTGAGACAGGAAAGAAATAAAAGCCCGAGCTGAGGGGAGGCTGTGGGAGAGCGAGGGCAAGGGCTGGACTGGGGGTGCCTTGAGGAGCAGGGTGTGCAGCTGCCCCTGGTGACTGCTTGGGCCCCACCAGGCAAGCCTCTGCCCCCCATCCTGCCTGGCTCAGAGCAGGAAGAGTTGTGTTCCTGAGCTGGGGCGGAGGGCTCACCCAGGGCCTGGTGAGGGGGATCAGCTGTTATGGGCGGTGGAATTCGCTGTATGTGCAGTGGTTTCTTTGACAAAGTCGTGGAGTCCAGAGGACAGTGGTTTTGTTCCCAGTGGGATGTAGGAGGGAGGCTGCTTTGACAGGGTCTGGAAGGGGCCATGGAGACATGTCAGGTGGGAGGAGGGGGACTTGGCTCCCGGCTGGAGGAGACCCCCAGAGCTGGCTCAGTGTCTGTCCCTCTCCTTGTCCAACCCTGTCCCCTGCCCATCCCCCTCTCCCTCAGCTCTGCAGAGAGAAGCTGCTCACCCAGGCTTTGAGGTCTGGGGTGTCCTTTCCTAGCGGGTGTGTTTCCCATCAACAGATACAAGGACCAGCTCCAACATAAGGCGGCGCTGGAGCAGCTGGGGACGCTCTTGACCACAGAGCAGGAGGCTCTGCAGCAGGAGCAGAGGACGAGCGCCATGGCCACCGAGGAGAACCAGAGGCTGCAGGGAGAGCTGGACAGGTAACCGCCAGGCCCCCTGCAGCGCCTCTGCTGGGATGTCAGTCAGACCCACTCACTCAGCACCCGCTGAGCTGAGCTCAAGTGAGACCCCTGGTGATGCTGCATTTTTACCAACCCTGCCCTGGAAGCAGCTGGTGGTAACAAGGTTAAGGGAACTCCAGCTGGTGGCTGGAAGGAAGGACTCGGCAGCTGGGATGGGGCATTGTCTAGGTTTGGACAACCTCCCCTCCCACAGTTATGATGCTGATTACTGTTGGGCAGGGGCACCTGCATCCTCTAACACCAGTGATCCCGTGAGGGAGGGAGGCTCGGTCCTCAGCATTCACGCATTCCCATTTGTGAATTCACCTCCTGGCTGAAATGTACCGGTGACCCCCAAATCAGTGCCCGTGGCCTGTCATGGACGTGCCCAGAGTGGGAGATACTGGAGTCGCCGGATGTGCACATTTGCAGCTGAGGTTGTAAAAGTCTTTGACCCCGGCCTTGTTTCAGCTGTCACCTACCAGCGTCCTCTTTGTGGGCCATTGAGTGCCATGGTGTTCTATTTTGTGGGCTTTGAGGGTGATTTCACTGTTTGAAATGGCCCCCAAATGGAGTGCTGAAGTGCTGTCTAGTGTTCCCAAGTGCAAGGCTGCTCTGGGCCTCACGGGGAATATACGAGTGGCACACAAGGGTCATTCGGGCCCAGGTATGGTGCTGTTGGCTCTGAGTGTATTACACGGAGCGTCTTTATGTCTTGATCAGCTGACAGAATGTTACCAGAGACTCCCAGGCACCGGTGGGAACAGTTTCAGTACTCACTAATTCAGGGTTCACGTGTTTGGGTAGAACATTATACTGCGAATCATTAGAATTGACTGAGCTATTGTTATCCTTTAAAAAAACCACAGCAACAGAGGAGAAAACAGGCTCAGGGAGATTAAACAACTTGTTCAAGGTCAATGTTCCTAGTCACAGGCAGGATTTGAATCCAGGTCTTGCCTCAACCCAGAGGCGTGACCACATGAAGCCTTCCTTCCCACAGCCCTGATTTAACATGTGCTGTGGGGCTGTAAACTCAGCTGCCTGCAGTGGCCGGGCAGGTCCAGCAGGTGGGGAAGGAGAGTCAGTGATAGACCAGGCCCTGGTGGAGAATACACCCAGCTAGAGGCTGTCAGTTGGGAGGCAGGCCAGGCTGCTAGGTCACCCTTCTTTATGCTTTTTTTTTTTTTTCTGAAAAGAAGATATCTGAATGTTGATGGGAAACTTAAAATTTTGGAATGCTGATACAATAATTATTTTTTTGTTTTGTTTGTTTTTCAAAAAAATCTGCTTTGTTTGGGAAGGACAGAGGACCAGGAGCAGTGGTTCTCAACCTTCTTAATGCCGTGATCCTTTAATACAGTTCCTCATATTGTGGTGACCACAATTTAATTGTTACAAATTGGACATATTTAAAGCATAGTAATTAATCACAAAAACAATATGTAATTATATAGGGTGTCCCAAAATTCACGCAAGATTTGCAACTCAATTCAATTGCGAATCTTGCGTGAATTTTGGGACATTCTATATGTATGTTTCCGATGGTCTTATGCAACCCCTGTGAAAGGGTTGTGACCCACAGGTTTAGAACTGCTGACTGGGAGGACCTGGAAACATGTCTGAGGCCAGTTGACCCTTAAACCTAAACCGCAAGTACTTACAGCACTACAACAGAGAATCTTTTTTTCTTGTTCTGTTTCCTTTCTTTATGTTATTTTATTTTTTTAGTTGACTTTATTGGAGAGTCTTCAATTAATAAAACCATACACACTTTAAAATGAAATAAAATAGAATAAAATAAGTAAATGTTAAAAATTTTTAAAAAGCTGTGTGGGCCAAATTTCACACACCTGTGTTCAAATTGAGTCCATGAGCCTCTGGTCATATGAGCTTTTTCGTATAAATCTTCCCCAGGAATCCCAGTCGGGTAATGATGATGATGATGATAATTTCAGTGAATTTAGGTAACACTCCAGAATCTCCTATTTTATTTATCTCAGTAGTTGAAATTAGAAAGGGGCTTGGAGAAGAGCTGGATATAGACATAGAGTCTTAGAGCAGAAATGTTCTGATTCAGTGAAAGAACTCTTTTTCTAAGTAGGCAGATGTGCCAAAGCCTCACATAGAAAGGACTTTTGCAGGGATGCTCTGTTGCAGTGGTGTCCAAGCCTGCCTGTCCTGTCTCTCCCAGCCCGCAGTGGGGCAGCTGGGGTAGCCTCCTAGAACCCCAATGAACACAGTTTGAAAATCGCTGATTTTGTTCAATCCTTCATTAACACATGAAAAAACTGAGGGCCAGAGAGGTTGCTGTTTTGATTAAGGTTTTACAACTGGGACAGAGCCTGGGAGTGTGCCTCAGCCCTTGGCCCTGTGTCTCTCCACCCCCAGGGCCAATTCCCTGCACCAGCAGCTGAAGAGGGAGCAGGAGGAACTGCAGACGCACAGCAAGAAGCTGCAGACCTCCCTGAGTGACACCCAGCTGCAGGTGAACTGCTGGCAGGCCCAGTGCGATTGGCTGAGGAAGGAGCAGGAAGAGCTGCAGATCTACAACAACGAGCTGCAGACCTCCCTTAATGAAATGCAGCTGGAGAAGAACCGCTGGCAGGCCCGGTATAAGGGGCTGAAGGGGCAGCAGGAGGAGCTGCAGATGCACAGCAAGAAGCTGCAGACCTCCCTGAGTGACACCCAGCTGCAGGTGAACTGCTGGCAGGCCCAGTGCGACTGGCTGAGGAAGGAGCAGGAAGAGCTGCAGATCTACAACAACGAGCTGCAGACCTCCCTTAATGAAATGCAGCTGGAGAAGAACCGCTGGCAGGCCCGGTATAAGGGGCTGAAGGGGCAGCAGGAAGAGCTGCAGATGCACAGCAAGAAGCTTCAGACATCTCTGAACGACACCCAGCTGGATGTGCACTACTGGCAGGCCCGGTACGAGGGGCTGAAGCAGGAGCAAGAGGAGATGTACACACTCACCATGGACATGCAGACCGACGCCAAGCAGCTGAAGACCCACGTCAAGGAGCTGCTCACACACAACAAGGAGCTGCAAACGTCCCTGAAGGACAGACAGCTGGAGTTGAACTGCTGGCAGGCCCAGTGCAACTGGCTGAGGGAGGAGCAGGAAGAGCTGCAGAGCTACAACAAGGAGCTGCAAACCTCCCTTAATGAAATGCAGCTGGAGAAGAACCGCTGGCAGGCCCGGTATAAGGGGCTGAAGGGGCAGCAGGAGGAGCTGCAGGTGCACAGCAAGAAGCTTCAGACCTCCCTGAATGACACCCAGCTGGAGGTGAACTGCTGGCAGGACCAGTGCAACTGGCTGAGGGAGGAGCTCCAGAGCAGGGACATCTCGCTGACCGAGCTGGGCAACCACTGCCAGGTGAGGCCAGAGCTGGAGGCCCCAGGACCCTGGGTGGGCCTGTTCCCTGGGCTGATGCCTTGGGCTCCACCAGGTGGGAATGGGTCCTCATTGGCATCTCTGCTCAAAAGGTGTGTGTGAATGTCACACAGAGGCAGAGAGGAAGCCAGAGGCAGTTGACTGGGATGAACACCATGACTGGCAGGGGTGTGCTACAGAACACCTTTCACCTGATCTTTGCTTTTTGCAGGGTCGGGGCGGTGCATGGAAACAGCCAAGTACCATTGTATCTCCGTCCTCTCGGCTGAGCACTCTGCTCTCTGTGTCATCTCATTTAATTCTGGCAATGATCTTGTGAGCTGGGGTTCCCATCCTTGTCCCTCTGAAGTAGCAGGCTGGAACCCTGTTTGTCTGAAGCCAAAGCTTGGGACTTCCTGCTACACCAAACGCGATGATATTCTAGAGCAGGAGCTGGCCAGCCTCAGCCCAAAATTCAGGTCCAGCTTCACGCCTGTTTGTGTATGGCTGAGAACCAAGAGTAGCTTTCACAGTTTTTAATGGCTGGGGAAAATCAAAAGCAGGATAATATTTGGGGGCAAGTGAAAGTGACATGAAATTTAAATGTTGGTGTCCATGAGTTAAGATTTTTGGTTTGTTTTTTAAACACAGACACACCCATGTGTGTGCATTGTTTCTCTGGCTCCTTTCCTGCTGTAATAACAGGGTTGAACAGTTGCAACAGAGACCACTGTCGGCCTGGAAAGCCTAACGTATTTAGTACCTCGCTCTTTACCGGAAAAGCGTGCCAACCCTGCCTAGAGCAGAGATGTCCAGTAGGAATGTAATGCAGGCCACCACATGTAACACTCAGCTTTCTAGTAGCCACATTCAAAAAGTAAAAGGAATCAGGTGGGATTAATGTAGGGGTCTATTTTATTGAACCTTATATCTAAAATATCACATGTAACCCCAAAAGCTTATTGATGAGATTTTTAAAAATAATATGTTTTTTAATTGATTTTTTGAGAGAAACATCCATCATTTGCCTCCTGCATGCCCTCAACTGGGGAATGGAGCCAGCAACCCAGGCATGTGCCTTGATCAGTGTGGGGTGTGGCTACAGTGTTTGGATGGGTTCAAGCCTTGGATTGATGAGAGGGCACGGACCTCTCATTGCCATGTGCAGGTCCCAGCTTGGAGGGCAGAGCCTTCCCAGCACATTATAGCCAACAGCTAGAGTGGTAAGCTTTAACCTATGGTCTGAACACGTGGCCCCACATGCCTGAGTGATAGAGTTCAGGTGCATGTAGTTGAGTAGGACTGAAACCCACGAGAATGTTGTATACATCTTGATCACACCCTTACTTTGCCTCGTGGCATCTGCTATAAAATGATATGGATTGTGGGCGCTGGCACTGTCTCTACGTCAAAGGAGCAGCGTCCCACTGAGACCCAGCTTTCATTATCTTGCTGTCTTTTCTTAATCCTTCACCACCCCCTCTCAGGGTCACTGAACCAGGCTGAGCTGGTATGGCACATAAGGCACCCTGGGGCTGAGTATGCCTTCTTGCCACAGATCAGGAATTACACCGGTGATTTCTTGGTGAATGGGACACTCAACCTACTGAGCCACACACACCAAGCAGCTTATTAATGAGATACTTTACATTAATTTTAATTGTTATTAAGTCCTCAGAACCTATTATATATTTTGCACTTATACCTCAGCTCAGACTGGCTGTATTTTCAGTGCTCAGCTGCCACACGTGGCCAGTGGCTGCCTGATTGAATGGTGCAGTGGCAGAAGGCTTGGCCATCCCCATATCACTGGCCGTATTGGTCATGCCAGCTGACGTAGATTATACCAAAATGACCATCTTTGTGCATGTGACCTTTTTCTCCTTTTGGAAGTAGATTCCCAGCAGTGGAATCAGGGGAGCATGTGGTGTTTGAGACATTGTCCATCTGTGTTTTAGCTGCTCTCCCACCTCAAGGGCAACTTGGAGGGAGAAAACCGTCACCTGCAGAGCCAAAACCAAAGTTTGGAAGAGCAGAACCAGAGGCTTCTCCAGGAGGACGTGGAGAACAAGGACCAGCACCAGGAGGAGCAGCGGCAGTACGTGTGAGGGGTGTGGGCTGACGGACGCCTGTCAACAGCTCCGTGACTAGACTGCGCCATTCTGGGCAGCAGAGAACCCCCTGGGCGCATTGGTGTCCCAGGCAAGGGGACAGACCATCTTACCAGCACATCCTTCTCGTTTTCTCTGGAATGGTTCCAGATTTCTGCAAATAGGGGTGGTTGGCTTTGTTGGCTTTTCAGAGACACAGCCCCCTGCCAGGCGCTTCTTAATGTACTTTTGGGATCAGGTTCACTTTGAAAAATACAACAGAGATAAAGAGAGATTCCTAGGGAAGGACTTCAGATCACAGGCTGAGCCCTTTCTGTGTCGGTTTTTCCCTGAATGGGTTGCAGAGTGGGTTGTTGGTGCACAGTGGCTGTCCTCCTTCTGTGGTTATTGCCTTGGGCAACAGGCCTGGCCCTGCAAAGTGCACAGAACCAGTTACCTGGTCTCCAGGAACCAGTAGGGGTGATGGGATGTGAGCAGAGCTGTGCACACAGATGTTGAGGAGCTCCATGGAGGTAGAAGGAAGCATGTTGGTAGGAATTGGAGTTCTGCTGCTGACACGGATGGGGAGAAGGCTAGCCAGTCTGTGCGGGGCAGGCGGGGGGGGAAGGGGATAGGGGCTGAACGTGAAGGTGGGGCTTGGCATATTGTGGGTGCAGGGAAGTTGCAGGGAGTGGCAGGAGGGGAGCTGGAGGAGGCAGCGCTCAGCCATGGAAGGCTTCCATGCCCTTCTGATGACTTGGATTCACTGGGAATTGGGTGATTAAGGGATGCTGGTGTACAGGGCCTAGGAAGCTGCCAGAAATGAGAGCAGGAGGAAGAACCTTGGTGCTGGAATCCTTTTGGTTTGGAAGTCACGTCATCTGAGACACATCTTGTGGGTCCATGGTGGTCTTCACCCCTCGGTGCTGTGCTGCTGGGACTGTCCTTCCTTGTGATCGGGAATGGCTGGCCAGTGTGGGACAGAGGGACATGGCCACAGTGACCACTGGGTACTGTACCAGCTCCCTGGGGTGATGCTGCTGTTCACTGTTCTCCTGGATTCGTCTGCTCATCTACAGGGGGCTCAACATCTACCAAGGATGGTTGACATGGGAAACTAAGGATGGTTGACATGGGAAACCGCACTGTACTTTTAGGGTAGAAGTGAGAGTTTGTAGCCTGAAGTGGGCTCTCTATAACGCAGCTGCTAAAAATTACCAGCAGAGGTTGGACAGGTGCAAACTAGAAGAGTTGGGACCTGGTACCCTGGGGATGATCTGATGAGGGTTTTGCATTTGAAAGTGTCTGCAGGAGGCCAGGGAGTGGGCAGGCTTCCTGAGCCTGCTCCAAGCAGAGTCATCCCCAGCCCTGGGATAGCTGGGCCATGAGTTTGCGGGGCTGGGGGACGGCTGTGGGAACAGAATAACACAGACTAGAAGAACAGAGGCCGAGCCGAGGGTGCTGGGAGCAGAGCAGGTCTGTGGCCAGGGACCCAGTAGTTTGCAAGCAATCACTTCTCACGGGTGCTCACTATGTGGTGAACTCACGGAAAAGCCCTCATATTAGGAGGGGCCTGGGCACCTTCTTGACTGAAGGAGCCTGAGCAGCTCTCTGGATGCCGAGGACTCATTTTCAAGCAGGGACAGCAGGGGTCTGAGCTGTCAAGGCCACATGGGTGAGGAAACGCAGGAACAGGACAGGAGCCAGTGGCCCAGTGGGGGGCGCTGTATAGCGAGCACTGCATGCATGGCTCCTAGACAGACAACAGGAAAGCATGCCATGTCTTCTGCTTCAGGAAAGCCAGGCTCCCTCTCCCAGGAGCGGGGGTGCCCTCTGGCAGCCCAAGGTTTAAGAGGCTCCTTTGTGTGTTTTTAAAAATGTGAACTGATTTCCCACATTTAGAAATTAAAAGATTTTGCTTCAGAGCCGGGGCTTCTGGATCCTTTGGGAAAAGCAGTCAGAAGCTCCACCACATGGAGAGCAGCGCTCCTTTGCAGGCCCTGTGTTAGGTCCCAGGTGGCACCGAGCTCTCAGCCTCGCCGCAGCCCCCACTCCTCCCTCAGGTCCTTCAAGGCTGCTTTGCTCCTTATCTTCTCTGTCTGGCTCCCAAAAGGCTTTGAGTTTGCTTCACTAGAAGTGTTAGCAGAAGCCCAACATTGGAGTGGGTCCAGGTCGGAGGGATGACTTTGCTAAACTGACCTTTTTAACCTGATGCCTGTCTAACTCAGCAAGGGCAGACCCCTCCCACCACTAAAGCTATCGTTGGTCTGCACCTTCAGGAGCTAGCCTAGCCCTGGGTCTGACCCGAGTGCCCAACGTCCTGAGCTGACCTGGCCAGAACCCTCGGGGTTTCCCAGCTTGACTTTCAGATGGTTCGGGGTCTCTCTCCTGAGGTGACGCACAGCCTGCCCCTAGGTGTTCAGTCATCTCTTCGACGTGTTTGGCTCCTGGACCCATGTCACATGTTTCCATCCCATATTCCCAACTCAGGGGTCATGGTGGTCATGAGCACCGTGATGTCTGAGTCCCAGGAACACACAGGCTCCTTCTGGGCCAGGTCCCAGGAGGGGGTTATGAGTCAATTTATGTGTTTTATTTTAAAAAAAACAGACTGTTTTTCTCTCTCCTCTGTTAGAGACAAATTAAATGCCTTACAGAGACAAAATGAAACACTGGAAGAAAAAAGCATGGCTCAGCGCAAGTTCCATGTTCCAGCGCCAAAGAAGTGAGTTGACTTAAGCTTCAGTAGCTTACACACAGGACAGAAAGCTTGCTTTTTCACGAGCAGGGGAAGCTGTAGCATCTAGAGCAGTGGCCAGTTTGTTGGGCCCGAACCTTCTGCTGTATGGCAGGTCCCTGTGTGCAGGTCCCTCCCAGCATAGAAAGAATTTAGAGTTTCTTTCAGTCCCACCCTCCATACTCAGTGTTATCCTATGAGGGATGGTGAATGCCAGCTGGTCAGGAGCCTGTTTAAGGGGCAGAGAGTCTGTGCTTTTAAAGCCACTAAATCAGGCATATCAGCTATTGTGTCAAGATTTCGGGACCTAGAAAATCATGTTTCCGTTTTGGGATGGAAGCTTGGCTCAAACACCTGGACCAGCAGCCCCGTCTTCAAGCACAGGAAACTTTTGTTCTGCCCTCCATTCCTCTGGGTTCATTGGACCCCCCAGGACAGGTTCAGAAACACATTCCCTTCCCCAGAGAGCAGCAGCCCCGGTGGTGGGTCGATTTGGCCCCTAAGACTGCTGGCCTCCGTCCAGCAGGGCTCCCCTGGGCCCAGGCCTGAGCCCAGGAGCTGAGCCTTCCCATTGTCCTGTCCCAGCCCAGCCTTGAGGTCAAATCACCATGAATCCAGCAGGGTCTATTTGTAGAAATCACAGAACCACATAATATCAGAACCTCCGCCTGACCCTTCTGTTGACAGGGAAATTTAGGTACCGATGAGGAAATTGAGTGGCTTGTGTAAGCACAGTGCTGTTTCGTGGCAGAGCCAGGACCAGAACCCAGCTGTGGTCCTTGTTACATTAGAATGCTTCATTTCCTGTTAGCTACAATGAATTACCTTTTACATTCACTATTTTCATTAATTTACTTATTTTTCTAATCCTCACCTGAGGATATTTTTCCCATTGACAGTTAGAGAGAGTAGTAGGGAGGAAGGAAGAGAACGGGAATGGGAGAGGGAGAGAGGGAGGGAGGAAGAGAGGGAGATAGAGAGAGAGAAAGAGAGAGAGAGAGAGAGAGAAAACAAAGGAGAGAGAGACATCTCTGTGAGAGAGAGACATCTATGTGAGAGAGACACATCATTTGGTTTCCATCTGCATACACCTTGACCGGGGCCAGGGATCAAACCTGCAACCCAGGTATGTGCCCTTGTTGGGGGATCAAACCCACCACCGTCAGTGCTCAGGCCAACGCTTCAACCACCGGGCAACACCAGCCGGGGCTCACTGTTTTTAATTCAAACGGCCCACTCTCCTGCCCTGTTCCCCTCACCCAGATTCCTCAATGCCAGAAATTGGCAGAGTATGCCAGCCTATTTCACGTATTATTAACTCTAGCAGAAAATGAGGAGGTCCCTGACTTTCTGAAAATGGCATTTTAGTGGAATTTTGCCAGCACGATTAGGTCAGCACAGCACCACTTCCTGCACTTGGCACGGTAATCAAGAGCTGAGAGCTGGGTTTGAAGTTCTGTTGTCTCCAGGGGCCAGTGTGGGTTCCTGCACGATGAAGGCTCCTACCACCCCTGGGTCTGTGTGAATTAACTGCACAATGTGTTCCAACTCCTGAGCCCAGGTGGGTTGAGCGTGGTGGTGGCGAAGAGCACCCGCTTTCTGAACCAGATTAACCACCACCTTTACAGGCTGGTGATGGAAATCCCAGCTCGTGTAGGGCACCCAGACACCTGCTGGAGGGGCAGTGAGGGTTGGCTGTGTCCTAAAAACCTACTTCTTACAGGAAAAAGCACTGGATTGGAGCCAAAGCCTTAGTCAAACTCATCAAACTAAAGAAAGGGGGTTCCAGAGAACGACGAAAGTCAACCTCAGAGAGTCCTCCCTGGCCGCTGGGGTCCTCAGACCAGGCCTCGCCCAGTACTTCTCAGCCTCTTCAATCTCAGCTGGAGCCCCTCGAGGCCACCCCATGCTGCTCAAAAGGGTCAGAAGAGCAAGACACCCGCAGAGGGCCCAAGGATAAAGGTAGGAGGGGCTGACCTGGCTGTAGGCGGAAAGTGAAGGGGAGGATCTCAGGTCTCCCTCAGGGACACTGGATAACCAAGGAGACTGCATGCTGGATGTGCACACCTGTGCGTGTGTGTGTGTGTGTGTGTGTGTGTGTGTGTGTAGGAGCCTGAAGGGGGTGTGCTCCACACACCACATCTGCCCCCTTTGGTATGTGAACACCCAAGTAGGAAACATAAACCCCATCAGTGTTGCTGCACGTTCATCCCAGAACAATTCAGGTCCTTTAGCATGAGGAGCCTCACAAATCATGGACACTGTGGTAGGGACTCGAATATCCAGAGCTGATGTCCACAGAGTTACCATAGAGACAAACTCCACAGCAGAGGTTTTTGGGGTTCCCTGTTCCCTCCAGGCCTACAATAGGCCACTTCTGTAGGGAGGTCCGCGGTGCATTTAACACGTGAGGACAGCTGCAAGGTCTTCAGCAAGGCCTCCTGTGGCTCTGATCTTCCTGTCACTTTGAAAAGCGGGTCCAGTATTTTTCTCCGACCTGATCTGGCCTTGAGTCCTGCCACCACGGAGTGCACTGCACCTCATCATTCAGGGGTGTCACGTGGAATTGCCAGAGGTTCTGAAGTGGATTCCTAGTTGCATGTGCTG